GGAACGCCTGTTTCTCACCAACTAGACCATTTCCCCCAGACCCCCGCACGTATTCTACTACATAGAGGCTGCACAACTCGGTGCCATGGCTTACCTAGAATATTAAACTTGGCGAAAAATGAAGGTGATTTGAAGTTGAGCAGTGGCATCAGGAGCCCGATGAGGTAAAAGGGCACGGTCTTGGACTTGCTCCACCACTTCCCAAACTGCTGGACCCCCGTGTCGTTGGCGTAGAAAATCATAGAGCTATTGTCGGGATGACCGCCATGACCAGCACTTGGACAAATCACTGCAGCAAAAAAAGCCCCTGATTAAACCAAGCCACGGAACACAGGACATGCTGGTCCCAGTGTTCTTGTTGACCTGCCTCCACGTTTACCACAAGCACTGTTCCTCCTTTCAGTGAAAAAGAAGATTATACTTGGACAGATTAGGATTCTTTTACCTACAAATAAATACATAATTACAAGTGGGAGAATCTTTTGAAAAATTTCAAGCCCATTCTTCGCTTCGTTTGGAAACACATTTCCTACCAAATATCCATCAGTTCCAACCTGGAGAGACAGTACTGGGCTGGAAGGCATTTGGTTTTATTTATGACAAACATGCAACTTATTTCTCTGATAACCTGTTTGTTAGGCTAAGGATTCACACCAAGGTCAAAGAAAAGTTTTCTTAGGTGTCAGGGATTTCTGAACAAAAACTATGGGTTTGGAACAAAAAGTAGACAGCACTGAAAAGAACTACGCCAGTATTCTCAAAACTACTCCAGTATTCTAAGTCCTGATTCAACCTTAAGAACCTTGGATGCTAGTAATCTAACAATTCTCCTTATACTTTACGATCCTGGACAGCAACCCAAAAGCCCAGGAGATACCAGAGAACCAGCAAGTCAGTATAATATATTTTTCCTCAAACTGAGCTGTGGTGACAATTTCTACTATCAGATAGACTACAAACCATTCCTAATTTCATGCACGAACTTTGCTAATAACCAGTTCTTTGTAAAAAAATTAATAAAAACTTAGAGCTGGTGAAACGCACTAAGCACCAACGTTACTCATACTCATAGTCTGTTTACGGGAAAGTGATAGACTCCTTCTAAGTCCTATTTAAACTTCCTTCTCTATCTGTTCCTTGGCACGCCACAAGGCTAGCATTTAATGTTC